TAAATTATTTGATGATTGTATTTAATAGTTTGTCGACGCAGATGTTCCAAATTAGATGTTTTCGTATGATTACTGATAAAAATACACCTATAATTTCTTTTTTTTTATGAATAAGAAAGTAAGTGAGTCGAAAACGATTGTGATGAAGTCATTACTGGTATGTGTTTCCACCGGACTAATGTTTCTTGAATAGCTATATATATATATATATCATATATATATATATATATATAGCGAAATATAAAGGTATGATTTTGAAAGTCTTCAAAACTGTAAAGAAGCCAGTGGCACGTATCTGTATTATGTTTGAGCATAAAAACTTGACAACTTATGCTGATTATTGCTTAGACGCCATTTCAATCATGATAGACTAATTCCTAAGTTTTAAACTAATAGCTCGATTCGATTTTTACCAAATTCCCAACAATAACCAAACTTGATATATGATCATATAATGATATTTTCTTACAATACAACATTTTCATATATTCATTCCACCATCCACTTAATTGAAATTGCGTGAGAGCGCCTTCCTAATTGATTATATAAAAAGAAAAACTTATTTGAGACGCACAATCAACTCATTTAAAATACACAAACAAAACAGATTATACAAATTATCTTTTTTTACCGAATAAAGCATTGGATTAAAATATCGCTATTACAGTTATATATGCCAATCTAGAAGAGATTCAAAAACCATATGAATAAAAACAGTTATCAGTGTTATTATACTTTTTGCATATTTAACATTATCAAGAAATTAATGTTTCCTTGAAAATACCCCCCCCCCCCAGTGGCACAGCGGTATGTCTGCGGACTTACAACGCTAGAATCCGGGTTTCGATACCCGTGGTGGGCAGAGCACAGATAGCCCATTGTGTAGCTTTGTGCTTAATTACAAACAAACAAACCTTAAAAATAAATGGATCTAAAAGAGCATTGACTCGTTAACTTACACAAAAGTTCATATCCTTAAATTTTGTATCTTTTTCTCAGGTCATTGCTCTTTTACTTCAGACATTGTTTGTCTCTGTGTAACATTTTACTAAATTGCTGCTGGCTGAAGTTTCGAACATTAAAGCAAACTATCTCTTGGATTGCACTATGTACAACAAATAGAAGGTCTGTGTTTCTCATATTACGCACTTCAACATGTTTACTGATAGGATGATTTCATCTTCCAGAAAAAAAAGATTTATTGTTTCCTAAGTTTCATGAATGGTTTAGGAACTCAAATTATTTCCCTATCTTTCAACTACGAGGACACTTTCTTTTACTTAAATATATATATAATTTTAAGCCTAACATATTTGAACAAGTCTTCTTACATAGTACAATATAATAACTTTTTTTTTATATTTACACAGCGTATAACTTACAAAAGTAAAGTGAATTAAATAAAAAAGTACTTGGCTAGGGTACAGTGCACGCGCGACGAAACAAAGAGGCAGTAGATTTTGAAAAAAACAACAAAAAAACATCCTTATTTTAAGGAATTCTTGCCCGATTTTACATTTTTTCATATAATAAACATTATAAAAGATTAATATTGTGTTCGAAGCTTTTATATGTAGGTGTGTTTTACAATGATATCTATATAAAATTAAAACGAGTTCTCCAACAGCGTGATCGTATCAACCTAATTATGCTAATAATGCATAAAACTAACTTTTAATCTGCAACAATTTGTTGAAGTATTTTTGTATTGGCCAATGGTGTTCTTAGAATAATGCATATACGTTAATTTCAGAAATGCCAAACTAAGCGCTTAGAAAATACCCATCATTCACATTAGCTTGTTTTTCTTGGATGTTTTTATGTTATAGTAAAATAATGATTATTATTCTGTATTCTGTGTATGTTTTCTCTACCTGACTATATGTATGTTCATAGTAAGTTCAAATTAATTCTTATTTTCTTGTGTATCAGTAAATAACGTTAAGGATTATGCTGCTTTTTTTAAATAAATGAACATTTTTCTTATTTGTACCCAGAGATATTAACTTAATCTCTGAGTCCACGATTAACAACTTAACATGTTTTTATATTAGATAAAACCTACCATATTATTTAGAATTGACAATATGAAGTAATGTTGTGTACAGAAATTTTGCTTGTTTTCAGAAATACGTGCCTCAATTACCACTTTTTGACGAACTTTCTTCTTCGTAATAAAGTTTACACAAGCTGAATTCCCTCTGAACTTACTTTAGTCTGACAGTGGAGTGAAGACAAAGTGAAGCTATATTTTACTGTTACATTGAGCCAGGCCATTTTAATTTCGCCTAAAAGAAAGATTAAGATGAGGCCTCAAAATGTCATTGATAGCATAAATTAAACTTAGCCCAACTCGTTGACTTCATGAATTAGCTGCTTGCTTGTGATGTCATAAACTGTACATAGTCTTAAGGAAATAAATTTCATCTTCATTCTTTTCGGTGGATAAATAAAAATCGGGAAACTTAAAATATATCAAACATACAAACAAAATCAATACTAAAAAATAGTTCTTTAATGATCACTTTTTCTGATGTTAGATATTAGTAAACAAGCAATCGTCTGTTCTTTTGCAAGTTTATGTATCAGTCAGTAAAGAGGAGAACTATGAAAGCCAGCTTTAGTTTTTTTTTGTTTTATTCTAAACAACTGTAAGACATTATAAGTTATTTTTATGATAATCTTGCAGATAATTGATACTAACTTACTTTGTATTTGAGATTTTAAAGAGGTGATGCAAATGACTAACACCTACAATCAGTACGTTTATTATTGTTTTAATTTAGAGGAATCGCACCCGTATTGACTGATTTGAGACCTTAGAGTCTCTTTATCAGCAGTGAGAATGGAAAATTGCTCTCTAAGAAAAATTCAGTGTTGATAAATAGGAGGTATATTTTATAAATTTAAATGTAGGTTAAGTAAGTAAATACGTCAATTCTTAAACCTTGGAATATTTTCTAATACAAAGAACGAGTTTAAACAAAATTTTATTAGGTTGAAACGTCTAATAGGTGAGTTTACGAACGTGATTAATTTTCCTACGCAAGATGTCGTTAATAATGCTCGAACGTAAGTGAAAATTATTTGAGCTATTTTTAGTTAGTTTTATTTGTTTCAGGAGTGATTTTTATTTACAGTTAAATCACTTACTATGAAGCTCTTTAGAATGAATTTCTTAGTTTATGGCTTAATTTCTAACTAATTTCCTCAATGTTCTTATTCTGTTATTCCATTTTCCATTACTATCACCCCTCTAAATACCGAGCTTTCATAAAATATTTTATATTATTAGTTTTCCAAATTTTAAATCCTTGATACCTTGGTTGTCCGAGAGATAAGTAATTCTCTGTAAGTAAGTATATCCTTGAAATGCATTACTCTATACATTTCTGTCCAGTTTACTTATTCAGTCACGTTCTCCTGTTCTAAGACACATTTGACTTCCTTCAGTGTCTAGATAAAGAGCTGTATTGTAATAAATCAAATATAATAGAACAACTAGCTCGTGGTATAGAATAACTCCTCGTGATCTGAAATTTTTCAGTACTAACAAGTGCATGTTTCGTATTTATGTATAAAATATGTACTTTCGCAAGCAGTTGATATTTATCTAATGACAAGGCTAGGTATGTGTTCAACGGTAAGTCTTCCGAGTTACAAAGCTAAAATCAGGGGTTGGATTCCCCTCAGGGGACACAACAGGTAACCCGATGTGGCTTTGCTATAAGAAAACACACGCACAGGTATATGTTATACAATTGATTTCAAATTTGTAACTTGTATAGTTAACTTGTCCATAGTTTTTTTTTAAAGTTTTCGAGTGAAAATTTTTTTTTTTTTTGGAGAGTGGGGGGTTAATACTTTATAAACAGTTCTTTGAGGGAAGAGAAGTAAATTATATAATGAATATAGACCCTTTAACGCCATTACTCACATCATGTTTATTCACTGAATACTACAATCAGGATTCATATTATATTATCAATAAAAATATATTTTAATATTGCTTATAGCGCTACAACAAATGTGAATTAATATCGTCTTTGTTTAAAGAAGCAAAAGCAATATTCACAAAGGGAATAACATTATATTAAAATATCATAATTAACATTACACAACATTTTTATACTTGAAGGAGAAATGCGTAGCTAATAAAACGATATTTATAAGTATCCTTATTTTTCTAGGGTAGGAAATTATTGGAAATTCCAAACTATTTATTGAAATTTTATATTATAATTTCATGCTCTGGATATACAGTACTGATTGCTAAAAGTAGAAAGAAATATTCTTATACAAACATATGTGAATATTCACTATATACTTACTCGTTTAATCACAACCATAATTAAATAGAAATATCATACTTTTTTCTTATTTTTTTTTCTTGCAGGCTTCATTGAATTAAATATCAATTAATTAGGAATTTTACTCTATGGTGTACAGAATATTTATAGTTTGGGAGATATAATATTGCAAACATTTAATATACGATAGTATATGAAGCAATGCAAGAGTTTATGTGATCCGTAGGTAAGGTATACTCGATAGATTTTTTTAATATAATTAATTTTCATTTGGTAGTAGTCTATTTTTATTATAAAGATTATTTTGTATTGTTAGTTCATTATATGGATACAAGTATTAAGTACATTTTCTAAAATAGCTGAACCTTTTGTCATATTATTGGGATTACGTTCGAAAACATTGTTAAAACTGAGAATACCTAACTGTTGAAATAATCCATTCTACTCTTTATAACTAAGAAAGCAAATGCGGTAAATCTAATCAACTTTACTCATTACCGAGCTGATTATGAGTTCAAATCGGTGTAGGTAGCTTAGATTAGAAATTACCATTGATTAAAACAACGAAAAAAAATATCTCGTTTTTAAATTCGAATATCAAACAGCAATCTAGATACAACATTAAATAAGATCTACTCATATCACTGTCTTCTTTGTTTGTAAATAAGAATTATTCTTGTGTTTCAACAGGAACCACAAGAACTCAGAATAACGACACTTCAACTAATACCTCAATGCCTGACAAACGATCTTTAACAGAGGAAGACAATGGCGGAGAATATTGGGTGGCTGAGACGTATAATTTTCCTGCTTTTGACAATAACACAGCTAAAAACGTGTCAACTCAACTTGGACAAACGGCTTTTCTTCACTGTATCGTTGAAAACTTGGGAGATAAAACAGTAAGCATGTTTTGGTTATCAAATGACAACCCGTTTCTTTTAAATATCATAGTTTGTGTACTGTCTTTGTAATATGATATGCTTAAAACATTATATAGAAATTTTTTCTTCGAAAACCTTTGGTTGTATTAAGTTTTTCCACTAAGAAGAACTTTTTTGTAGGGCTATTAAGCTTTATAGCACATGTTCGAATATATCCCAACATGAAAAACTGAAGTTGAGTTACCCAATAGGTATGGTGAAAGACAACTCATGACATCGGATGGGATCTGATTCAATGTAGTTTTTACATGTCGGGAGTTTAGGCATAGTATATAGCAATTATGTCCTTGAGATTACATAGTAAACATTTTATAGGTTGATTTGTGAATGAAAAATAATACAGTGTTATACCATTATTCTTTTTTTCTATAATCGAATATTGTAAATCTGAATTGGCCCAAGTATGAAACCTTCTCTCAATATTTAATAAATTGAAAAATATGGGACATTTGAAAAATAATTCTATTGTAAAAGTAACGCGATTATTTTATAAATTTATTCAGTTGATATTTTATACACTTCAAATATTTGAAGTGTATAAATGTAGCTAATGTTGCATTAGTTCGTATTTACATAGCAACCTGTTTAAATGCATTATTAAATGATAGTCGTAAATAACTGATAACATTAATTATCTGAATTTTCCCATAATGACGCCTCCCAGTGGTACAGCGGTATGTCTGCAGACTTACAACGCTAAAAACCGGGTTTCGATACCCGTGGTGGGCAGAGCACAGCACATATAGCCCATTGTGTAGCTTTGTGCTTAGCTTCAAACAGGCCCATAATGAGTGAAATATTTTTGACAGTACAAATCTACCATTGTGCATAACTTGTTGATGAATCTTCCAATAGATAATAAAGTAACTTCGAATTATGGTATAAATCTCACACCCCCATGGAAGCTTGTTTTATACAAAAAGTTTCAAAATAAAGTAATGAGAATTTGCCGTGAGTAGATGAACCTTAAATATGAAATATGTAAGGAAATTTTCTCATTATTCAATGACTTAGATTATGTACATTTTATTACAAGCATCTAATGTCAAATACTATACGAAAATGTTTGATAAAGTTATTCCAGGTCTCAATTTATGTTGTTATTGCGACCAAAATCTTTATTAGGTTTCGATGAAAAGCAATCTCCTCGGTTTTGAGAGAGGTTTAAAAATATTAAAAATGTTTACATAGATAATTCCAGACTGTTACTTGGGTTTACTAGCAACAAGCAAGTTATACTGCTAGTCAACTTAATTGTTCAAATCATTACTACATTTCCTTTAAATAAAATATATATCTTATTTTGGAAAAGTCACATGAAATAAATATACAGTATAAGGATGAACTTTACTTGACATTTAGTTAGAAATTACGACAAGTAATTTATTTTAGTACCTCAGAGATCTAGGCTCAGTTCAGGTCACTATGAATACTCTACAGATGCTTGTTGCAGCATTAAAGGCCATTATACATCTTCCAAACTAAATGCTGTGACACACAAGACAATGGACATTAATTTAATCACTGTCTGCAATATGTAGTTTGTCTAAACAAATAGAGGAAAACGGGAAAATAGTATAGATATAATGTTTCTTTAGGTACATTTCAAGTTTAAATTGAATAAGATTTATGTTTGGTTAAAGATTATTTTTCTGTAGGTGATATAAAATGTAAAGATAAAGAAACATGCTTAGATATATTTCGAATATCTTTAGGAGACAATAATTCATAGTAACAATAATAGGTAGACAAACAACAATTTATAAGCATAAGGAAAAGTTTTACTGGTGGTGAAACATACTACATGTTTCGACAGAACATTGGTCTTATCTTAGTAGTATGTTCTACCATCAATAAAACTTTTCCTTATACTTATAAATCGTTGTCTTCCTATTATTATATTAGCCTAATGTCCTTCCTTTCTCAAATATCATAATAACAATGTTATAAAAGTTAAAACACATAAATTACTCAAACAGAAATAAGGCATGAGTTCGAAACATATAATGGTAGGATTGTTAAAAGCCTAATTAAAGTAAAAACGAGGAGCACACACAAACTTAAATTACTCAACACTTGTTTAATCTAGTAACTACTTTTTCTCTCGCTATATTTCCTATTGAAAATAAATTCTCAGATAAGTCCCTCTGATCGAATATATTTGGATAAGAATGTGCCAGTACTTATTAACAGACACAGTACAAATGCACACGCTGACAAACGTTCTATTATATGACTCCATAATTAGAGTGAGGAGACCTTTGCTTTGACCAGTGCTCAAAATACCTTTTGCGTGTAACCATAACCATTACACATAAATCACATCTAAAATATAACAGAATAATTAAAATAAAATTAACTCAATCTAATAATCTTAAAATTGTCATGATCCTTGATTGGTGTCAAGAAGCATGAGATCTAGCATTATCGGCTAGAAACACCTGATAATCGTTCACTTAGAGAATGTTAATGTTTATCAAGGAGGCGTGAAATTAAGTGGTTAAGGTACCAATCTGGGGATACAAACTCTCACTTTGATGGTTAACCTGGCTATGTCGGTTAATAAACTACATTTATTGAGGAAACCAATGGGAAAAACCTCAACTATGAAGCACTACGAGTTCATAATCATTGAGTCTACCTATCATCGTTTTTTTTTATAGGTTATATTGCTTTTAGTTAATTATTGTGGATCATTACCATACTTGTGTTTAATCAGCACCCGCGAAAACAACAAAACAGATTATGAAGATATTTAATTAAAGAATGTGCCGCAACTGGATTCAAACAAATTCAGTTAAATTTGCATATACATAAACATGGAGGAACAAAGATATGAATGTACCTAGGTCACTATTTTGTCTTTGAATGTTTCTTTATTATATATCTGGGAATTATATGCGTAAGTCACTGGGTAATGTCACTCTTGATTTAATAGTAGTTGTTGTCAAAAGTATAGACTTTAAAAAAGTCAAAGTTAACCTTTAGTGTGAAGTTTCTTTTTCCTAATAAATCAGCAAATAGACATGAAAACCATAAATGGTTAAATGCTTCTTAGGAACAAAATTCAAATAGCTTTTTTCAAATAAATATATTTCTAGAAGTGTGTGGAGTGAATACAATATAGTCGGTACTTTACATTACTATTTAATTACTATGCTGATATTTTCTTCAGCAAGTTTCAACGGAAACAAGCAAACAATATTATTATTGTCTTAAACACTTCGGGTCGCATCAATCCATTGTTTCTTCTGTTAACTGTTGATTTCTTAACCATATAAATATTAATATGGGTACATTACGTACATGTTTTCATTATGGCACATATTTTACTAACATGGGCACATTTTAGCCCAGAAAGTTGTGATAATTAGATAAAAAAAATACTCATTAGTAGCTTCTTCTACAGATATATTAGTTAAAAGAGGGATAAATCAATGATGTTTACCACATACACCTGTTTAACATTTTGGAAATAGCAAGGAAACTAGCACACTTCTTAAGATATGACTTATAAATTCATTTGTGTTTATCGTTGACCAGTCTCAAGGATATTACATTAAGTACAAAGTATTTACCAAAAATGTCCTAAAAGAAGACTAATTACTTTATTTGCAGTCAGTGTTTTTCCGTTGATAACAAATTACTGAACGTTAAGACAAGAAGACAATTGACCTAACAATAAACTCCAGCGGTTAATACCTGAGTAAATAAAAAAGTTTTGAATTATTAAAAAAATGGAGTAAGGATAATGAATAAAGGTAATAGTTAAAACTGTTAAATTATCACTATATTTTCATTATTCTTATATTATCCTTACAGGATTTGTTAGGTTTGCTGGAAAGGATAAAAAAACAATGTACAAAATTATATAACGTTTGTTGTTCTTGGTCACTCGTTACAAGTGGAATGTTACACATAGAATTGATCCTCCGGCGTTACATATATGCAGCAAGTATAGTTCAATACTGCGGGTTTAATATGTTGAGGTCTGTTAAGATCATCTCGAGAAGTTATTTGATAGGGTGGTCAAGATTTCTTGAAAAACGAGATATATGAATGTAACTTATGACATTAGAAAGTAGAAAATATTAATAGCCTAGAATGTGTCATTCAAGTAAGATATTTTTTTCAGTTTACTCATAAAATATTTCAGAAGAGAATGCACCAAAGGATAAATCATGGATGACACCAGAGTGGTAAATGACAAATCCCCTGTCAGGCTAGTCCTTGACTTCCAGTGAGACAGTTCGAGAGCTGCTCAGGATGTTGTAATTACGTTGTTGGAAACATAGATGGAAAAGGTTTGTCAGCTAGAGGGGTTATAGCATAATATCGGAAAGACGCGTATAGATAAGAAATGGGGGTGGGATCCAGAATATATATTAGTGACCTTTTTCTTACCCCATGTGATTTCTACACGTCGTTATGCTTGGTGAATTCCTAATTGGAACTCTGGAAGAAGAAAGACAAACATACCTTCTGCAGAATTGACACTACTGAAACATCGTCTCCATAACTTGTTACTCGATTGATGGGGGAATTTCTCATGTTCAACCAAAAATTCTGTAAGAAATTTTTCTATAAACTGGTTGTAGACTACTAACACACGTAAATTAACAAAGCACTCTTACTATTAACAAATGTCTTGAACTTACATGTTTTTTAAGGTTCGAACATATATGATGTTTGCTTTAGTTTTAGCTCTATATATTTACATGTACAGTCACAGAAAAAATCATACACCTCCATAAACTAACTTAATTTGTCAAAGTAAAAGCATGGTAAATTACGCAACTTTCTGGAGATGCATAATATTGACTAGCATAATTTCTACTAGTTATACATAACTGATACTGTAGTTACGCACAAAGTTACAAAATGGCTAGTTCTGCTGTGCCCAGCATGGGTATCGAAACCAACTTTTTAGCTTTATAATCCTTCAGACCTGCTGCTGG